AATTCAAGGAAAGACGAGAAGCAGACAACCCCGGACCGAATATGGTTAGTGTGCAGACATGTAGTAAGTAGAGTACCGTGATGGAAACACGTGACTGCTGTGATAACAAAGTATGGACTTCTATTCCATGTGCACACCAGTCATGTGCTTCTATTGTGTCGCATTCAGCGATTTCCAGCAGTCATAGAAGCCATATTGCATGTTCTTATAAACTCCGATTATTTGTAAAATTCCATGTCCGTTTTTATTTCAACTGTGTGCGAAATAGTAATTTGTATGTGCAAACATATGTAAATACCAGAAAATGTGCACACATTGCGAGTGATACAACTTTTGCTGACAATTATTTTGGACTTACAGCTCCTATTTGTCCTGTATGTGCGTCACGTTGGTGTAACACTTACAGAGCCGAAAGGATATTGGGGAAAGGTGGAAGGAACTCCCCTGTGATGAGAAGAAGAGGTTTCAGGACATGGCTAAAGCAAGTGCCAAGGAACTGGGCGAAGAAGTTGCAAAGAAATCTGCAAAGGTACTTACGTGCTTAGTGTTTTCGTAACTGCATTTGGGGAGGACCTGCTATCGACACAATGTTGGTTACTTTTTTGTATTAATGTTCACGTTAATAACATTACAGAGTAAAATGCAAGTCCGCATATCATTGAAGGCAATTGTTGATATCGTGAACCGGTGTAACGAAGCACAAAAGCAGGCAGTCATTGATATTAGGTTCGGTGGCCTCCTAGGGTTAAAGTGTACCCGTATAGATCACAACATGTGCCAATGGTTGGTACAGAACTTCGATCCCAACACGTGTTCGTTGACTGTTCATGGCCGTCACCTGAGGCTCACCTGTGAGGAAGTGCATGTCTTATTGGGTATACGGTCAGAAGGCAATGACGTGCAGTTCACTGGTTCAATAGACGCATATCCCAATATCTACGAAGAGGTTGGAGCTGTTAAAGGAATCATTCCTTTGAACCAGTTGAGAGTTTATCTGACTGAGACTGATGGTGCGGATGACGAGTTTTGGAGGAAGTTTGCGCTGTACGTGTTGGGGGCCATGTTGTGTCCTACCACAATGACAATGCAAAGCAACTGTGAGTTTATGTCGTTCAGTATTTGATACATTTAGGTTTGCAAGGTTATGTTTCCTGTACCTACTAAATACCACGGTCTGTTCGTGTATGGCATATTGTGCCGTTATGTACTGCCATCAGGAGGTTGTGCGATTTGTGGAAGTTCAAAAGGAATGAAAACCAATTTTAACCAATATGTTTTAATTTCTATTTCTGCCTCTCATAGAAATAGAAATTATACAACTAGCTAGTATCTACACATTAGGTCCATAACACATATACCCTTAAGCCTATTAACTAAATTGAATCACTTAAATTGTAGGCTTCTTATAAATGATAACACCACATT